CTGAACAACAGGGGACAACTGTCTTTGAGGTGAGGAGGAAGACAGTGTAGAGGGGGACCTTGAAAACAGAGTTGCCTGTCAGGAGCAGCTGCCTTGCAGAACATATTTTTCAGCTTTGAGGGTGGCCTGCTTAGCCAAGCCTGACTATTTCACCATGCTGCCCTGGTATTAATTCACCTCAAAGAACAGGTTGAAGTCATTAAAATGTTTTGCAGGTGGTTCCTTGAATTCATGGTACAGCTGGATCCAGCCTAAAGGGAGGAAAAAAAAAAAGGAGCAGAAGAGGCAAGTTTTGATGAAACACAAATTAACATAACTCATAGAAGGGAAAGAAAATCTGGTTTCAATCTCTACAACAAAGCCAAGCAACACATCAAGCTAGAAAGGAGAAATGTCAGCCAGGCAGCGCCTGGGATTTTACTGCTTTAGCACAAGTGCTTCTCCCCGGTCCCAGGAGTGCCCAGGTGCTACCGCAGCAGCCCGACCCCCTGAGCGCAGTTCTGGGCATGCAGAGACACGGGGCACTTCACAACAAGGCCCCTGTGGGTCCAAGCTCAAGCTTTGTTTTAACACCCTGGCACAAATCACAGTTGTTTAGATCTTGTGTGTTGGCCTCAGTCTCTCTTCTGGATGGAAACTCTTCAGCTATCACATCGTTTCTAGCCCTTAGAGCTGGATCCACCTTTTTTCAGGGGGTGCTGACCAGGGCTGAGCTGGGCAGTCAGGGGGACACTTACAAGGGAGACCCCAGATCTGACAAGTCCATGAGCTGCTGGAGGGCAGATCACTCACAACCTGCTTCGGCTCCCCCTGAATTCAGCAGTGCCTCTCAATGACCACAGGCATCAAAGGCCTTGGTACTTTCTTGGGGAGAACAAGACATTTTAGCATAAACAGTGCCATACCGGAGAGCTGTACTGGGTCTGACACATGGAGGGAACGATCTCCACAGCAGCCCAACACAAGTATGCTGTTGTGCTTTGGGTTTGTGGCTAAAATAGTGTTGATGACACATTAATGTTTTGGCTATCAGTGAGCAGCGCTTGCACAGCATTAAGGCTGTGAGTAGGCTGGGGGTGAGCAGGAGGCTGGGAGGGGACACAGCCAGAGCATCTGACCGAAACAGACCACGGGGATATTCCACACCGTATGACGTCGAGCTCGGCAATAAAAGTTCAAGCAAAGAAGGAGGAAGGGGAGATGTTTGTGGTTAGGGCATTTGTCAGCCCAAACAACCATCACGCGTGCTGAGGCCATGCTTCCCAGGAAGTGGTTGCCTATCTGCCTGCCGATGGGAAGTAAAGAATGAATTCTGCTTTCTGCTTTGCTTGCAGGTGCAGCTTTTGCTTTCCCTATTAAACTGTCATTATATTGACCCATCAGTCTTTTCACCTTCCTTCTATTTTCTCCCCACCCTTTGGGAGAGGGAACTGAGTGAGCAGCTGGGTGGGTGTTTAGCTGATGGCCAAGGTCAATCCACCACAACTGACTGGTATGTCAAAATTCATCAACCTTGTTCATTCCAAAAAGAGAAAAAGACTGAAAATCAGGCAAAATAGAAAAAAAAAAGCTACTTTACAAACAAACTTGCCACTGCAGAGGCAATTGTACAGCTCTGGTCACTGATGGCTTTGTGGTGTGCATCTATGGGCGGTCCCCCAGGTCAAACCATGAGTACTTGTTTCGTAGGAGAGCAGTGTGTTCTGTGGGCAGGATTACTTTTTGGTTTTTTGAAGCCCATCTGCAGAAACATGAGTGCAAGTGTTGGCGTAAGGGGTAGACTGTCACCTTTTCCAACTGTCACTCTCACTTCAGTCTAGAGGTCACAGCAGAAAAGGTGAAGGTTTGCTGCCCTGGCTTATCTGACATGGGGCCAGTTTGTACCACCACCTCTTCTCTTCCTCATCCTTGGAGGGGCATGACAGCCCCCTGAGTTCTGCCCATCTATGCACAAGACAGTCAGCAATCAAACAGATGACTTCGGAAAAATTACCGTCTTGTAGATAAATGGAGAAACACCATCCTCTGAGCTAGGATATCTTCTAATTCAGGAAGAAAATCTTTAAAAAATCACAAATTCTGTTCTTTCAGGATAAATGTTTATCCTGAGGAGGCAAACATCTGTCCAAGCTCACTGGCAATATCACTGCTGGGAACTGCTGTTTAGCTAATGCCAGGTTGGAGTTTGGTGTTATGTCTGTTTGCTCTGCCATGAGATTTTTGTGGTGGCAAACGCCTGCAGCTGACCACAGTGGTGAAAGGAGATGAGAAAGGTAGCAGGGATGGCCAGGGACTGGACACTTCTTTTTCCTTCCACCAGCAGTTATCCTCAGGCCCGTGACTTCAAGATGGCTGTGGTCTGATTATAAAACTTGGTTCAGATGTGGTGCACCTTTGCAATGAGAGTGTGAGGACCACCTTCTGCCTGGCATGAGCCGCCGACATCAGAGTGTAGGAGGGGAAGGGATGAGCCAGAGGACGTCAGGCTCTTCTCTGAGATGTCAACAGAGCATTTCAGGGGAGGCAGGATGAGCAGCAGGAGGGTGAGGGGCTAGGGCGTCCCAGCAGAGAGCCTGGAGGGCAGGCTGATGGCCTAGCAGACGTGCCCCATAAAGTGCTGGAAACTGCTGTTCTGTTAATAATCCCATTGTTTCAGCAAACCTTCAGCCTAGCGAGACGGCACTGAATCAGCAGTTTCTTTTCTTTTTTTCTTCCTAGATTTAGTAACCCCGATTGCACAATCAGAGTCAGTCTATTGCTGCAGTGAGTGATGGTGCAGCGAGAAAGGAAAGACAGCAGAAAGCAGGGTGGGGGCAGTGGCAGCGACCGCACGCGAAGGCTGAGCGAGAGTGTCGGTACACGATCTCTGACGTCTGTGGCACGGCCGAGACCCCCGGCACCACGTGCGCGGGGAAATCGGCCGCCTGTCCATGGCGGCTGCCCCGCAGAGGGAAACACACCGCAGCGCTCCCAGCAGCCAGATGCTCACCTGAGTGATGGGAATGTGGCAGCATGCAGAGCGGCACGGGGCTACATCAGTTAGAAATCAGGGGAGGATGAAGTGTGACCGGCTGCGGA